CCCAGAGCCGGGGAGAGAACCCAGGAGTCCTGCCTCCCAGCCCCCCCTGCTCTGACCCACCAGCCCCCACTCCCCTCCCAGAGCCGGGGAGAGAACCCAGGAGTCCTGGCTCCCAGCGCCCCCTGCTCTAACCCACCAGCCCCCACTCCCCTCCCCGCACCGGGACTAGAACCCAGGTGTCCGGCCCCCCGGCACTCACGACGTAGCAGGCCTCACAGTACGCCCGCCGCTCCATGGCGTAGAAGGGTTGGCCCCGCAGCCGGGCGTGGCAGGTGGTGCAGGTGAAGCAGGGCACATGGAAGACCTGGTCCATGGCCACGCAGCCCGTCCCGTCCCCCACCACGTTCTCCCCACAGCGGGCGCAGCGCCCTGGGGAGAAGGGCAAAGGGGGCAGGGTCACAGGGGGACCCCCAGCTCCTCCGCTGACCCTTCCCCCACTGCCACAATCACCCCATCCCCCTCCCTGCCCCGCAAGCACTAGCCCCCACCGCCCACCCCACCCCCGACTCTAGGGTTACCATACATCTGGTTTTTCAAAACCCCCGTCCGGGGGAAATGCCAAAAAGCCGAACATGTCCGGGAAAAATCCTCCCTGGCTTACTTTAAAGCGGGCGCCGGGGGCTGCTGTGCTCCCTGTGCTACCCGCTTCGGGCAACCCCCATGCCTCCAGACCCTGCACCCCCGGCTGGGCGCTTCCCCTCCTGGGGGCGCAGGGTCTGGGGGCTGCCTGGCAAACCGTGAAGCCGGTAGCGCTCGGGCAGCCCTTTTCGCGTGTCTGGGAGGGAGGGGGAATGCGGGCGCTCAGGGCAGGGAGTGGAGTCAGGGCGGGGACTTTGGGAAAGGGGGTGGGAAGGGGGCGGGGCCAGGGCCCCGTGGAGTGTTCTCTTTTTTTATTTTTTAAATATGGTAACCCTACCCAACTCGCGCCCCCTGCCCCCCTCACCGAAGTACTCCCCCGCCGGCGGGTGATTCATGTCGTGCACCAGCTTCCTGGTCAGTCTGTCCAGCTCCTCCTCCGGGCGGCTCGGTGGGGCCTGGGGGAGCGAGAGCTCGGCTGGAGGCTTCGCTCACATTGATCTGCCCCCCCCCCATGAGGGGATACAATCCCCGGCAGGAAAGAACCCAGGAGTCCTGGCTCCCAGCCCACCCTGCTCTAACCCACCAGTCCCCATTCCCCTTCCAGAGCCAGAGAAAGAACCCAGGAGTCCTGGCTCCCAGCCCCTCCTGCTCTAACCCACCAGTCCCCATTCCCCTTCCAGAGCCAGAGAAAGAACCCAGGAGTCCTGGCTCCCAGCCCCTCCTGCTCTAACCCACCAGTCCCCATTCCCCTTCCAGAGCCAGAGAAAGAACCCAGGAGTCCTGGCTCCCAGCCCCTCCCT